TAAGAAGTTTTCACATTCAAACTAGGCTTCACTCTACATGATGCTAGTCAAGGTTTTCCTCTCGCTACCCCCCCCCCATCTCCACAAGATTTTTCTGCATCTCCCCCAGTATCTCTTCCTTCTACCCTGAACCATCCTACCTCTACTCTCTACCTAGTGAAATCCCTTTTCCATTCTAAATCCAGATACTCCAAACTCAAACACTTCTCCAATACCTACCCTTCCTCCCCCTCACTTTATGCATCGCATCAGATAACCTAAACATTCTACACCCTCCCCTATATCCTCCTCCTCCTCTTCTCCTCAAACATTTATCCCCTATTCTCCTCCTCATAAGAGATCCTTTGTTTCCCAGACCTCCCTACTCAAATCCCTCCCAGAAACTCTTGAAGACATCCAACAATTTCTAGATATGACCCAAGAAAATGTTTCACTCCCTCATCCACCCTCCAATCCCTCTATTCCTATTCCTTTTACATTCAGAGTATTTGCCAATATCCTTCCTCCTTCCCCACAAGTTCCCCCTATACTTCACCTCCTTCCCCAGTCTCCTTATCTTCCCGTATAACCCGTTGATTATTTCATAACAGCTCTTTAACCAATTTTCCTTAAAACAATGTTACTATAGCTTCCCCAACAATACATACACCTATTCCATCCAATAGCCCAGTATCCTTAACCTTTTCCTTTATTGATCTCTGATTTACATCATTTGCACCCCTTCTTTACCCTTTTCCCTATCATACTATTCTATAACACAACCTTTGATATTTGACACTCCTTTTACTAATTGTAATCTCATTTACCCTTTTCACCACAATACTTTACCATAGTGCTATATGACTGTCAATGTCTACCACATTGATGTTTCAACCATCAACAATTAACCATCATGTGCCTATTGCCATTGGATTAATGTAATTTGTGCAAGTATATCTCGTTTCAATATATTTAAGTCTAGGAATCAAGAATTGCTAAAGCCAAATTGGAACTGTCATAACAATAATTGTTCTATACATTTTCAGCTTATGAAAGGTATACTTGAACTTGAAGACCCTAATATTTAAAAAATACAGAACACATGATATAGAGATCTCCACAGAGAGGAAAGCCACAACTTTGGTGTATTAGAATCAAAAGGTCTTAATAGCAGCCAATGAGTGTGTAGTTCTGAAAACTGGAGCCAGTAAGAGCTCGCTTGAATTAAACATGATGTAATGATAGGGCCCCACTGTTAACAGAATCAGTCAAATCCCAACTGGTCTCTGTGGAAGCAGACACTTGCATTTTTATCTTTTATATATCAGCACATGTTTACACATCTGTGCATCTGTGAATTGCAATTTGAGAAAATAATCAAAATTGCATATGGAGTGCAACAGGACTGACAAAAATGTAAACTTTACTCTGGGAGCAGAACAAGCAAATCTTTGAAGTATCTGAATTAGCAAAATAAAAAAACTGGGTTATGTTTGTAATGAAAAGCGAACTATGCAAGTTTGCTTTCGATGTGTTGTAAATTCAAATGTTTGGCATGCTTCTTTTATATTATCAACCGTGATGTAGTGCATCTTAGGTAATCATTGTATATCACAAATATCTTTTGAGCTTGTCTTAAATACAAAGTGTACCAAATTATATCACATATTAATTGGCACAATACTGATGTCATGTGTTATTTTATGGTTCTATTAACATCGGCCACACTAAGGTTATCAAAATTGTTATCAAATTAAATTTTCAGCCTTTTTTGTTTTTTGTTTTTTTTTGCTCTAACAGAATAATTTAAAACGTCTATTCATATACGTAACAATTTTTCAAGCATGGTTATACCTTTGATATACCTGCCTGACTGGTATATATACCCATGAGGTGATGTAGCCTGCTAAACTATTGCTCACAACCAATTCCACTCACAAATCAATTTACCTAGTAGTTATTAGTTATTAATTACCTAGTAGTTACTGTCATCACTTGACAGGCCTGCCCACCAATCAGGCTTATTCGTCTGGACACGGCTCTAAAACAACTAGCTTTTTGAAGTGAATATAATGGATATTTCTTAATGCAGAAAAATCCATGATGACTTTATTTCTCATACTTATCATGACATGGTATGGGGCAGTAGATTCACTACTTTTCCAAGTCAGTTTGCCACTCAAATATATCTTATATAAGGGTTGGACTTTTTCTTGGTTAAATCAGATTAATATATAATTACTTTTGAAGTTTGAAAATGAGAAGTTATATATGACTATCAATATAAATCTTGAAGCAATTAAAGACCCTTTCCCTTAATATCCTAGTTGCATTTCCTGCACATGGCCTTGAAACATTTACCTTTGGGTATCCTCTCAAAATAAAACCAGAGAGGATCCTTCTTCCTTCCACTGGTTACAGTTCATAAATTTGGCACTGTGTATACATTGAGATTAGCAGAATACTATCAGAAGACATTTCTTACCCAATATAATATTGCCATTACGAATGTATGGTTGAAAATCCTTATCAATGCGGAGAACATTGACCAGATGATGCACTTCTATCAATTTTCTGATCATAAGAGAGAAACTTTAATGAGATTGATGTGTAATTAAAATGCATTCAATCTAGATAGATAGGAAGCATTAATCTGATATAATCATGGTAATCATTATGATCGTCTTGGATACCATCCACTGTTTTCAAACTGATATCATAATTGTTGTAAAACTGAGTGATAAGTAAGCATATTTCAGCAATCCTACTTATACTTATCATTTAATATATTTTCCATTGGCACATTCACAACAGTATTGATGAATATATGGAATACAAAATCATTGCAGAATTAAAGAAATTAGATGTACTTTTACTGTAAACGTTATTATGAGATGTCATCAACTTTTGGGTTAAATATAAAAAAAGGACGTGCACTATGACACTAACAAAAGATAGTGTAGCTTCCTATGAATCTAGACTGAATGGACTGTAAAGGTTTGTATATCAAGGTATTTCTCAAGAGTATACATATAAGGTATTAAACAGCTTGAAACTGCTGATTCTACCACATGACTAGGTATGTTAACAGTATAACATCATAAAGAGTTAGTGAATATTTACTTTTACTATGCATACCTATACCTACCTACTCAGCCACACTAAAAGCCACAGCTACACCAAAGCAAGTACACAAGACTGTATACTTCTCAATTTAAATGGTATAAATAAAAATCAATTGATTCAAATCATATTGTTTTTACTTTGATTTAAATAGATAAACTGCCTGATTTAACTTATCTGGTTTAAATCATGCTGCCTCTGGTATAAATAAAAAACAAAAATACATTGCATCACTCTGAAGTAACTTTCCTCACAGGTACAAATATATGATGTCCAGTTTTGTACAAGACTTATTTTGACTTAAAAATAAAGTTAAGGACATTTCTTTCCTTCCTATGTGATAACTTTATACAAAATACTTGCTTTTGGCACATTACAGAGTACTACCATCACTGCCTTTATAAATTAGTTATCTTATGTTTCTAACAGTCTTTAAATAAGATTAGTTCATTTTTAACTCCATACTCATTTTGCAAGTACATAGTTACTGGCTTTGCTAAACCCTTTGTTTTTTACACCTTATTCTCATAAATAGTTTCGTCTTGATTTTATTTCGAGTTCTGTATTCAATCCACAAACACTAATTTCTTCAAGCACTGAACTCTGCTTTGCAAAAAATAATGAAACTCCTACAACTTTCATTCTTCAGGATATAATCAAATCTTGCCCTAGTGTGTTGGTATTATACAATATCCCTTCAACAGTCTTTTAATTACAAATAAGATTTAATATGAATATTCTCTTGAATATCTGAAAGACTATTGCAAATCAAAAGTATTTGTAATATCAATCATGTAAACTCTACAGCTACATGAGCATTCTCAGAACTTGCATTTTGAGAATAAAAAATGTACATGAGTGTATTTCATCAAATTTTAAGCAAACACTAACAAAACATCTTGAAAGGAAAACATGACTTCCTTTTAAACCAAGAACTCAAAAGAAAATTCATACTCTGTAATCTGAGTAATTCAACTATCATACTATATCCTTGGTAATCTTACACTTCACAATTAAGATAGTAGAGCAATGATATTTTTTCCATTTTGAAATATATAGTATATCAAGGGATTTTACCTGTTACATATATTCATGCAATACTTTCAAGACTAAACTGTCTGTTAGTATTTGTATACATATAAAAATGATAATGCTCATATCTAAATGAATACTTGCATATATTTTCAATACCTTCTACACCAATTGAGACACACACACATACACACACACACACACACACATACACACACACACACACACACACACACACACACACACACACACACACACACACACACACACACACACACACACACACACACACACACACACACACACACACACACACACACACACACACACACACACACACACACACACACACACACACACACACACACACACACACACACACACACACACACACACACACACACACACACACACACACACACACACACACACACATACACACACACACACACACACACAAAACACACACACACACACACAAACCACACAACAACACACACACACACACGTGAAAACACAACACACACACACGTGAAAAAACAACACACACACACGTGAAAACACGGCACACAACACAAAAACACAACACACAACACAAATGCACAACAAAAGAAAAGAAAAGGAGAGAAAAAGAAAAAGAATAGTGTCACAGAACAGTTTTTTGATATGGTAATATAGCATTATGTCAATTACCATCTAACCCTCAAAATTTCCATCTTATTCTTCAATCTCATTATGCTTTTTCACCTTCCTTAAAGGAGATACCAAAATAAAATACTAAGATAAACAATATAAACCAAGTCTGCGATTTACAAAGCACTACATAGTAATGAATGTCATCCCTGACTAGTAGGTGTTGGAAGCAGTTATGGTGGATACATATATTTTTGTCACTTATACAGTACTTCCTTTCCCTCAAAAAGAGTCAGTTGTATAATCATCAGTTAATATCTTTAGCAATAAAATTATGCATTAATATTCTTTAATGCATATATAAACTTTCCAAATTAAGTTCTATATATATTAACAACAATGAATGGCAAGTAAAGAGGACAGTATCACCAAATGTACACACATTTTTTTTTCTTTTCTTTTCTTTTTTTCTGACACAGATTTGCATAGTCAAAATTACATGTAAAGTTTACTATAAAATAAAATTTACAGTTTGGGTATCTAAATCTCACTCGGAAGGGAACTGCAATACTGAAGAGATTTTTTTTTGGTCTGTCTTCCACACATTTCTGTCACTAAGGGCCTCTTTCAAAGGACTGAGGCGAATATTAATGATGCACCTCATTGGGAAGATAGCACTTTCTTTCTGCCTCAGATTTGCATAGTCGAAATTACATGTAAAATTTACTATACAATAAGATTTATAGTTCGGATATCTAAATCCCACTCAGAAGGGGACTGCAATACTGAAGCTTTTTTTTTCTGCTTTCCACATATTTCTGTCACTAAGAGCCTTCTTTCAAAGGACTGAGGGGAAGATTAATGAAACACCTCATTGAGAAGATAGCACTGCATTGAGCATCAAAGATAATGCACATAAAAACCTTGAAAATGATTTATGGTTTAACAATTTTGAAGAGAGACATGATGTATGCATTGTGAATAAGGACAAAGTTGTGGTTCACCTGAGAAAAATTTTGGTCCAAAAAATCTTCAGATACAGGAGGCTCTGGCCTCTATCAATAAATATGCATTTTTATGCAACATAGCATCATAAAATATATCTGTTTTAGATGTCACTTCTAAGGAAGAAAGTGTATTCAATATTGTTTCTATGAGATTGACTGTACTTTAATAATAAAGCAAGTCACATTATGTTCAGAATATAGAGTGCATTTCAATAATACTATTTATAATAAAAAATGAAAAATATCAATTGTTTTCACATTCTTGGGGATTCATAAACTTCAATTTCTTAAGACCTGGACTAAAACTTACACTACTCTGCCCACCCTCTCCTCTCCTGTCATCATAGGAACCTCTGCCTCTGTTGCTGAAATCCCCTCTACCTCTGTTGCTGAAATCCCCTCTACCTCTGTTGCTGAAATCCCCTCTACCTCTCCCTCTAAAATCACCTCTACCTCTGCCTCTGAAATCTCCCTGGCCTCTGTTGCTGAAATCCCCCTGGCCTCTATTGTTGAAATCCCCTCTACCCTTATTTGTAAAACCCCCCCTGCCTTGAGGGTTCATAAACTCTTTGTTCGTAAAAATCGGCCTCTTTCCTCTGGTTGCATTTCCTTTGAAGTATTTATTTTTCTGAGGATCATCACTGTTCTCAAATTCATTGTGGTCGCTCTTTCTTTTAGTAAATTGTTTGGCCTTGTTTCCTAACAGCTTGCTATAATTCTCTGCTATCTCTTCTGCTGTCACATCCTCCTCTATTCCATCCCCCTTATTGGGTGCAGGCAAAATTCTGGGGAGAAAAGATAAAATGTTCCATAATCAGAATGACGCTTTTTTTTTTTTTTTAATATGCCAAAAATGTTTGGACTGCTGTCTTAAAGATATAAATTCAAAGGATAAAATACAGAAATTATAGTCTATTATAATTTTATATCACTTTTATATCACTGGATTTTTTCATAAAGGCATCACCATTAAAGAGTTAAATAAAATTTTATCACTCTTTATGACAGCTGTAAGTGCGTCATCTTAAAAGAATATGAATTGCAGAATCATCGGATACATACCTTTCAGTTTTGTATACTCCAGTTAGCTTATCTTCGTTAAGCTTCTCAATATCTGGGTCCATTCCACCAAAGGACAAACGGCAGGGTAAAAAGTCCATACAGTCAAAATATGAGTCAACCATAACAATACGGTCCCTGTGAGAGAGTGGAGTAACATACATTATTCAATTGTTAAGACTAGAGATAGGTGATCTTTTAGAATATCAACAAAATGCATAAAAAAAAAAAAAAAGGTCGTTTACTGAAAATGGCAATCACTTACGCTCCTTTATGCAGTAATGATAGTTGGTCCTGGTATAACTGCTGCCGCTCTTCATTTTCTTCTTGTAGTACTGCTTTCTCTTTAGTCTTTTTCATGAACTGGAAAGCAAAATGGGTATATGTTGAAAAAGGACAAAGTGAGTATCTAAATTCATTTTTAAAAATCAAAAGCTAAAATTATTAATCCCTTCCTGGCCGCTGTGACTGGTGGAGCAGGTTGTATTACGTATATTTGAAAATTACAAATAACCATATGTTCAATATCTTTTTTTATTACAAAGAGAGATGATATGGAGTCTGAGCAAAGAAAATAAGCTATTACCATCTGGGTAAAGCAAATCAAAAGACAAATATGGACATTGGAAAATGGCAATAAAGCTAAAAAAGTTTACACAAAATAACTTTGCAAAGGGCAGGCACAGAGTCTTGTCACCGCTAATAAGGGTTCGTGCATGCCTGGCCTATGCGCCACACGCCCGGGATGTTGGCCACGTGCTTGTGTTTTCGGCACCATGATTTCTGTGATGCAACTGGATCCAAAGGGTTATGAAACAATCAAAGGGTAAAATGGGTAGAGATGGCTGTTAGAGAAGTAGCAGGAGAAGAATCAAGGGGATGAGATAAGGGAACTGGGGAAGGTGGCGAAGTATGAGGGGAGGGATATGGAGAAGGACAAAGCTGCCACAGTAGGGATTCACTTAAGTATCCTGGTGGGAGACGTAAGGATTACGGGGAAAGAAGAGAGAATCTTTCAGATGGAGAAGAAGAGAATGTGATGTGTTGGGAAAGAGTGGGAGAAAGAGGGATAGGAGGAACTTGGGGGGGGGGGGGATGGATATCAGCAAATACTTTGAATGTAGAGGGATTGGAAGGTGGATAAGGGAGCGGAAAATTCTCTTAGGTCATGTCTAGGAATTTTTGGATGTCTTCAAGACTTGTAGAGGGGAGTTGGGTGGGGAGGTCTGAGAAACAAAGGTTCTCTAGTGAGGAAGAGAAGAGGGGATAGATCTTCAAGAGGTGTAGGAGAACGTATGGTAGGCAAAGATGGAGTGGAACATTTAGGTTGCCTGATGTGACAGGTAAAGTGAAAAGGAGGGGTAGGTACCGGATAAGTGGAAGAGATTGGAGTATCTGGATTTAGACTGGCACAGTATTTGAATGGGGGAGAGGGGGAGTAGAGGTAGAATGTTCCATGGTAGGGGGAAGAGATACTGGGGGAGATGCTGAGACATCTTGAGAAGTTGGGAGAGGTGCAGGGTGGACTGTTTTGGAATATGTAGAGAGACAAAAACCTCATTGTGGTGCTTCTTGTCTAGCCTAACGTAAAGTGAGGCCTACCGTGAATCCAAGTACTGCTACATCACATTTGAACTTAAACTCCTACAAAATACATTATGAGAGCCACTAAAATTGGCACATGCACATGAATGAGCAGGGCAATTTGAACAGTCATGACCAGGTTGGGCACATAGAGAGCAGCAGGCTGTCGACTGACAGTGTTTGGTTGGGTGGCTAAAACTCCAACATTTCTGACATTGGCAAGGAAGGGGTCTATATGATTGAACAGGGCAGGACACAGCACCAATATAAACTTCATGGAGATCGTGTCTATGGAAGCTAATCTTGGAATATTGGTGTAGAGTTACTCTGTCTTCTGGAAGGAATAGTATAGCAACATACTGCCACTGCATCATAGTCAACATGACAGGCAAGTAGGTCATTTTCACAGTCAGACCAGTTTTTGTCAAACATAGGATAGTCAGTATGGGAGACGGAAACAGTTCCAGTACAAGTAGTAAGAGAGGAGTGAGGTTCAGCAAGAATGTGTTTGCTAGTGCGGTCAGTCAGGGTAGATAGTGCACGAGATTAGGACTCAGATGTAACTGTGACAAGGGATAAATAATCAAAACAACTGTGAAAGAAAACTTTGCCTACTTGTTTTGAAGACATTGTGGAAGAGAAGTGTATTGTCAGAATAAAGAGCTGTAGGTGCAATCACAAAGAATCAATCCCACTTGGCTGGGCCAAAAAGAGTACTCAAAAGGTTTGCAGAGGTGGAAGCAGTAGAAGGATGAGGGTAGGAAAGAAGATAGGTTCTCTGAAGTGAGGTAGTACCATGGGGACGAGGGCATTAACCCCAAGCCGCTGGGCATGGCATGTATGTACATGCCATTGCCCATTGTGTGTTGAATTTAGTATTTGTTTTTACATATAGATGGCTCCACAAGTACTGTCACCAATGAGCCAATTATGCATACTACCTGTCTCACCTGTTTACCCTTTTCCTTGATTTTCAATATATTCTAATATTTAACACTGCTGTTAATAATGTCTGTAAAAATAAACTAATTATAAAGTTTATAACAAGTGTCAATATTGATAGCATTAGTAAAAAAAAAAAAGATTTTTCCTGCTTTTTCAAGGAAAAGTGAGGTCACAAGATCTATTAATTGACTCTTTTGTGGCTAAGCATTGGCAGAGCCATCTATGTGCAGAAAAATTTAACCAAGGATAGCCAAAGGGAACGTACCATTTTCCCGTTGACATTGGGCTAAGGATGAAGAGTATTAATGAGGGGGGGAAGGGGTTGACAATGAAGAAGACTGTGCAGTAGAAACTGGAGTGGAGAATGTTGGGAAAGATTATGACCTGGGTGGGTAGCTCAGAATGGATAGAGTTTTCAGTAAACACTGAGGAGGGGGTATTGGTATCAGTGGCTGCAGCCATGGTCAAAGGAGAGGCAGGGGTCAGAAAACCAATGAAATCAAATTTAGATAGGCTATCTGATGAAGGGGCAAGCCTTAATGCCCTAAATAAGGAAAAAAAAATCTTCATTACTGGGTATGGCGAGTCTGAAATAAGTGGGTAGAAAAAAATGGTCTATCCTCTGGGTCCCCAAAAGGGTTAGGTTAAGAAGAGAAGGAACAGGAAAGGG